TGGCTAATTGCCGCTTGCTCCGGTAATTACAGCCGCTAATTTAGGTCCCCGCCGGTTTCCGAGCGCTGCAAAACGCACGTCCCGAGGTAACGCTGTAAAGCTGGAAATCCGATGCAAATACATACTTCTCACCTTCCAGCCTTTGAAGAGCCACCCACGCCAGACCAGCAATTGTTCCGCCCGCGCCAGTTGTTTTTGTAGTTAATTAGAAAACAAACGCAATTGGCACACGGTCTGCAGAGCCAAACTCCGCGGTCACGGGGGCGTTTCCCGGGGCAGGCATTAAATGGAATTAGTGCTTCCGTGCCTGTGCCTCAGAGAGAGCGAAGGAGCAAAGCCAGAGTGCTAAAAGGTGGAAAGCTTATGATACGTACAGTTTGGGAGCACATAAACATAAATTGTAAGGCTAGACATTACTTAAATCAGTCATTAAGGAGGAAATATGTTGCAGTTTGGCTTTTTAAAGAATCCAGAATAAAGGAAGATAGCTAAAACCTAAAATAAAGATGTCTTTTTTTTTTCCTTTTAAGTTTAATTCAGTTTTTTAGCAAAATGAAGAAGTGGATGGACATGTCAAATCTACCACAGGAATTCCGGGAGCGAGTGGAGAGGCTGGAGAGGAATTTTGAAGTGTCAACTGTCATTTTCAAAAAGTTTGAACCAATATTTTTGGACATATTTCAAAACCCTTGTGAAGAAATTTCTAAACCCCAGCGGAGCAGGAAGCAGAGGTACTTTCCTGATTTTATGTGACTTCTCCCTGGAAAGGGCTACACAGAATAGAGATTTGGGGAAATTAAGACCATTGCTTGTGCTTTGGAAAGTTCCATGAAGTTCCAAAGCCAACTTGCTTTGTGGCCTGGATCCTGTGGCAAGGTGCAAATAGGAGGAAGCTGCAGCTGATGCACCCATTTTATGACCAGTTTAGTAACTGGTGGTGTTGTCACTGTCACCACTGCTCGGGCTGTCCCTGGGCTGTCCTCCCTGGCCCTGCAGCCCCGGGGCTGGGCGGCTCTGCAGCAGATGAGCTGTAAGAAGCCCTCTGGCTGCCTGGCTCTGACGCTGAGAGAGGCGGCAGCTGCTTTGGGCAAGGACACGGAATGAAATTCTTACCATGAAACAAGATGCAGCTTCCTGGAACTGCAGACTGACTCCTGCCCCTTTTCCTCCTGGCTAGGCGGGTGCCCTGCGGCGTTAAGGACCTCTTCAACTTCTGCTGGACTCTCTTTGTGTACACTAAGGGTAGGCTGACTTTTGGCTGCGTGCTTTGTACCCGTTCCGAGTTACGAGCTTGTTTTGTGTTCCTTGACGTGATGTGCTGTCTCTTAAAGGTAATTTCCGTATGATTGGAGATGATTTAGTAAATTCCTATCATTTGCTTCTGTGCTGCTTGGACCTGATTTTTGCAAATGCCCTTTTGTGTCCAAATAGAAGAGATTTGCTAAATCCGTCGTTTAAAGGTATGGCGGGGGCAGGTTATTTCAAATCAGACATGCTTTGTTCTCTGGGTTCTTTTTACACGAAGCTGAAGGTTGGTGTCTTTTTTCATCCCCTCCTTGTCCTCAGGCCTACCCGTGGACTTCCACATGACAGAGATCAAAGCCTCTGAAGATCCTCCTTGCATCATTGCCACACTGTGTGAGCTGCACGACGGGCTCCTCGTAGAAGCAAAAGGGATAAAGGAGCACTACTTCAAACCATACATTTCAAAGCTATTTGACAGGAAGGTACATCTTGCTAACCTTCAGAATGCCTGGTAGTGCTCAGAGGAATGATCCTGAGACCATTTAAATTCTGTGGGGAAGTGCACTGATAGACAAACAGACATGGGCTGGGCTGGCCTTTTCTTTGCACGTATTTTATCAGGAGAAGAATTTACTCTTTTACTTGCTTTTAATGGTGTGTGCTGTAAGGTGCCCTGTGTTCTGTTTTTTTTATGTCAGTGGAGAATCTTTCCTGTGAGTCCCACTGCTTGTCTTGGAGTTGAGCAGAGTGCTCTGGAGGGCTGAGCTGGCAGGCACACAAGCTGCCCTGTCTGGGTTTGATCCAGATGAGTTTTCCCAAACTCTGTGGGAGTCTTTGTGTAGTGGTTTATTGGGATGGCTCCTGACATTAAATAGCAGCACTGCTTTGGAGGAGCGAGTTTGCCTGCAGCTTTGGTAGAGCTGGGCTTTGTCCTCTGTTTGTCTTGCCAATGGCATTGCAGTCCTTTCATCTAGGCAAAAAAGAACTCCAGTTACTCCTAGAACTCATTTCCTTTTTGGCTAACAACATCACGCCCTCATGCTGTTAGAGTTGGAACAGTTTTGATTTTATTATGTATGATATTTTTGCTTTTTACCCTTAGATCTTAAAAGGAGAATGCCTGTTGGATCTCTGCAATTTTACAGAAAATAAGTAAGTTACAGCTTATGTTCTTTCTCATGGGGTTTGGTGTCGTTTCTAAAATGCAGGGCTTTGAATCTGAAACCTCAGGTTTTCCTGCTCCTTTGTCTTTCTGTAACTGTTGATTTTTAATTATTTGACAATCAGAGCTGCTGCCTGGCTGCAGTGCTGTCTGGGTCTGAGCTGTGTCAAATGCTGGGGGCCCAGCTGCAGAGTTCTTCCTCGCTGTCAGGTTTTGTGGTGCTTCCCCGTTTTCTCTGGCAGCTGTAGCCTCCGAGTAATCTGATGCAAATCAAACCCTTGCCTCTGAAGTTCAAGGATGTGTTTCTATACAAGCCTCAAATATTATATAACCCAGTAGGGACGTTTTTAGATTCTTTTATCAGCCTCCATCTGAATGTATAAATCTGAGCGTGCCACAGAAGTACTCAAAAGAAACAACTGCAAAACCACAAAAAAGAGTTAGTGAGTTTCTGTGGGAGGCAAGAACAGTTGTTTCAGAAACTTTTAAAATTCGCTTCTGAAAGCTGATTTAAATACAAAATGTGAACAGCAGCTGCTTTGTTTTGAACTCCTCAAGGGAATTTTTGCCTTTTCCAAAAATAACTGAAGGTTTGTTTTCGCGGGGTGAGCTCCCAGCGTGTCGGTTCGAGAGCTTTCACACTGCTGCCTGTGTTGCTGAGGCACTTGCAGACAGAAGCCATTTCACAGCACTCCTGGGTGGTGAGCGTGTTAAACACTGAGTGTTTACCTGTGTAGCTGGCAGCTGCTCTGCTCCCCCAGCAGTGATCCGGGTTCTCTCCTGCAGCAAGGCTCTGAACAAGGAGTACGAGGAGTACGTGCTGACGGTGGGCGACTTCGACGAGCGGGTGTTCCTGGGGGCGGCTGCCGAGGAGGAGATCGGCACGCCCCGCAAGCTCCCCGCGGAGGGGCCGGGGGGCAGGACGGCAGCAAGAGCCCATGTGGAGTGTCATCTGCAGCAGCACTTTGAAAAGGTGAGTCAGGTAACGTTGTGATCTCCCCTGAAGCACTCCTGCAGGATTCTCCATCCTCGTGCGCTATTCGGATCACTGAGAGGACTTTGAATTTCTTGAGCTTGCCCCCGGGAGGAAGGTGATGAGTCCCTTTGCAGGCTTCACTGGATCCTGTCTGGTTGCTCAGGAGATATGGCAATGTCTTCTTTCCTGTGGAATGTAGTAAATAACTATTCCTTAAACGGGATGAGAGCACTTTCCTGCGTGCAGTCTGGTTTTAGAGAGATCAGTAGTTAAGACCTCAACATACAGGTCTTATGGTTTTGTTCAAACTTCATTTATAGCCCATAAGAATACCATGAAACCCTTAATGCTGTATTCATTTTTTTTCCTCCAGTATTTCCTTCTTTAGGACAGAAGTCAGCTTGTGTACTGTCCTATGGAAAATAACTCTCAAGATAAAACCCACCAGAGTCTAACTCTTTGTTACAAAAAGCAGCCTATGAGTTATGTTTCACTATGCTTAAAAATGTATGTAATGAAGTTGGTATTGATTATTTTTTAAGCTTGGGCAAGGGGGGAAGGATGTTGGTGGCTGTGTGAAAGAACCACATGCTGTTTGTGTCAATTAAAAATAAGAACCCTTATTACAAGAGGTAAATGAGTTGTGTTTGGGAGAAGAAGCTAAGCTGTACATGTGTTTCATAGGCAAATTAAAGGCAGCAGTTTGGAATCAGTTTATCAGTTTTGAACTTGAGTTTCTGTAGTACAATAATGACCTCATTGTTTATTTATGCATACTGACTTCATGCCTTGTCTTGCTGTTTGCCATGTGCCTTCGAAATGTAGTCTGTTCTAATAACCCAACCCCAGATAGAGAATTGCATTGCTTCCAGAAAGCAGGGTGCAAACAGGGAGGGGCAGTTACTGCAGCTCCATCTGCTCAGTGCTGTGTCCTTTGTTGTGTCAGGGGGGGCTCCAGGTCCACCACCAGGACGGTGTGTCCCAGAGAGCATTTTCCTGTGGGCCTCTCCTGGGCAGGTCTGCCACGTCCTGCTTGTCACCTGGCTGAGGCAGTCAGGGGTGAATGGAAGCACAGGCTTTCCCTTTTTCCTTGTTCAGCTGACCTTAAAAATGTACAGGCTTTAAGATTTAAAGTCTCATTTTCCTATATTTTATTGAAAAAAAAATTGCATTGATTTTGCTCTTCCTGCAGATTAGTTATATTTTGTATTTGAGTTCTGGGGAAAAAAATAACCAATTTTTGGTGAGTCCTGAGACCACAGGTTCAGTGGCTGCCTTTGGGTGCTGTACTCGTGGCGTCGTGTTAACCTCTGGAGTGATTTTGCAGGAGATGCTCGTTCAAAAGCTCTTTGAAACAGTTCTGTTGACTGCTTTTGTGTTTTTCCTCTGTCTGACAGAAAAGGTCCTTTGCTCCTTCAACCCCACTGACGGGAAGAAGGTACCTGAGGGAGAAGGAGGCTGTGATCACGCCGGTGGCGTCCGCGACGCAGAGCGTGAGCCGGCTGCAGAACATGGTGGCTGGGCTGAAAAATGCACCCAGTGAGCAGCTCACAGCCATTTTCCAGTGAGTACCTGCACAGCAGCTGCTCGCACACAGGTGGCAGCTCAGCTTCCCATGCCTGTGACTGTTTTCTTACTCAAATTTTACTGGTTTGTTTGGTGCAGAATGTTTGTCTGTTTCTGTATTTATTTCTAGTTGAAAGATCTGCTCTTTTCTAGATGACCTCTCCCTCTGGAGAAGGAGAGCTGAATACACACCCCCTCCTCCAACCTGTCACTGCCATCCTACTAATGCAGCTCCAGTTTTTGCTGTTGCTAATTGTGTGCCAAAATTGATAGCCAAATGCTTTTTTGTTTGGTTAAATTTTAACAAGTATGGTTCAATTAAAAGATATAGTAACTGTGTTGCCAGAGGCTTTGTAGGAGGAGGGAGATGTTAGTCAACAACCTCTGAGAAGATGAGGCTAAATGCAGCCTAGGGGCCCCCCATTTCTGCTTCATCCTACTTCAGGAGATCTTAGTCTGACTTCACAGCATATATATAAGACAAGCAGAGACCTAATCACTGTTGGTGCTGATCTCTTGTATAGCAGCAGCCGTGTTTCCTGCTTCTCTCCTCGTTCTGGTGGCTGTTCCCCAAGCAGGCTTCAGCTTATCCCTTTCCTCCTGGAGCTCCAATGTCTCTGCTGCTCAGCAGGAGTTAGAGCATGCCGAGGCATGAGCCTCTCAGTCAGCCCCTACAGCTGCTGTATGGTACTGGGAAATCATAGGAAGTGGCTGCTGAACAGAGCTGAGCAGAGTCTTGGCTGTATAAATCAGTGTATATTTCTGGTTCCTGTGTATTTCTCTTATTTTTATGTGGATGGTAATCTTTTTGTCCATTTTTGGAGGGTTTTTGAGGCTGGATACTCGTTGATACAAACCAGGCTGTCCTGTGTTCTGTTCAGGTCTTGTGCACGCAGCCCTGCAGAAAGCATTGTGAGCAGAGTGAAGGAAATGGGCGAGACCTTCTGTCGCTGCTACACTCAGTCCACAGATGAACAGCCAGGATCCCACATAGGTATGGACAAGAAATGCCTGGGATGTCTCAGGATATTAAACCAGGGCAAATTAAATGCATGCAGGTGCTGTCATCTAAGTATTTAATACAGTGGAGCTGTTTTTAACCTAGAACATACCCAAACAGAGGACTTGGTGTCAAACTGTAAAAGAATAAAACTTTATTACAGACTAAAACCAAGGTTACAGTTCAAAGTGGGATAACCAAGAGCACATGGAAACTATAGTAGCTCTTAACAAAAACTGTGTGCTTCCATTCTTATTAGATTTAAAATTTAATGTGAAACTGAATGCAAAAAGGAAAATTATTGCAACTGTCTGCAACATTACATCACTAGAAATATTAAAATAATCCTTTAAATCACATCTAGAGTTTCAAAGCCTACACATACAGACACATGTTCTGTTTTCTTACAGAAGGACAAGTACTGGTCAGTGTAGTCTTATGGCTCTCTATGCAAACAGCATTGGGCTTAATTTCTGTTGGGTTTAAATTTCAGATTTTGCTGTGAACAGATTAAAACTGGCAGAGATCTTGTACTATAAAATCTTGGAGACTATAATGGTACAGGAAACACGAAGACTACATGGGAAGGACCTGACTGTAAGTAAAGAACTGGGAAAAGAGTAGACACTTTTTGTAACCCCATTTAGGGGATTGTCTTCAGACACTTCCAGAACAGAGCAATCTGCATGTATTGTTAATGTTAAAAAGGAGAGGTATATGGGAAGTGCCTAAAATGTAGTTTTGACTGTTATTAAAAATGGCATAGTTCTGGCTTAACTGTATTAATTTGTGTTGCTTTCCAGAACCATGGCTTTATGGACAGGTGACTTTTAGTCTGTTCTTTACCTGGTTCCCAGTATCAGTACTTCCTGTCAGTCAGTGATGCCTTTGCCTGACACTCAGGAGGCAGAGGCAGCTCCCTTTGGCCATGGCATGAACGGTGTGATTGCTGGGGGGCTGTGGTCTCCTTTCACTGTTACCATTTCCCTGTTCAAAGAGGAGGCGATGGGAGGTGGCCGCTGCGGCAGCCTTGCCCTCCAGCCCTGGGCCCGGTGGGGTGGTGCTGTGGGGGAGGCTCAGCCAGCCCTTGTGCCCGCAGGCGCTGCTGGAGCAGGACGTGTTCCACCGGTCGCTGCTGGCCTGCTGCCTGGAGGTGGTGCTCTTCGCCTACAGCTCCCCGCGCACCTTCCCCTGGGTCCTGGGCGCCCTGCGCCTCCGCCCCTTCCACTTCTACAAGGTGAGCAGCTGCTGCCCGGCCCGGGGCCACCTCCCTGGCTCGGGTCTCCTGGGGGTGCTGCCCTTCCTTCCTAGGGAACCGCCGGGGGGAGGGCTGACCTTAGTGTGCAGCACCCCTGCTTGGAATTGGGCCTGTCCTGAGATAGAACCTGGGGGGTGTAGTGCTGGAGTCAGCTGGGGTTTAAAGCAAGAAACACGTCTTGTAAATGGTCCTCTAACTGTAAGGTGCTGCTGATGAACTTTTAGTTCTTAACATATATAGTTTTAGTAGCCTAAAGCATTTGAGCATATGTTTTGATGAGGTTCCTACTGATTACACACTGTAGTTCTGCTCATTAGAGATAAAATAGCAATAATATTCTTTGTTGCCTTTGGCTACCACTACTTAACACAGGCTTGCCTTCTTAACTTCTATTTTCTTTGTTTTGCTTTGTATTCAGAACATTAAATCTTTTCTTGAGGGTTCTCTGCTTTTGCTTTTCCTAACCACATTCTGCCCTGCCTGCAGGGTCACTGCTGGTTTTGTTGTTTGATGCTTTTATGCCCATCCACATGCCTCCTGTTTTTCCTAGATCCCTAACAGCTTACTGTGGTTAGTCCAGAAGTAGTTCTGTTTACATGATAACAACAGTTTTCTGGTTTTCAGTCTTTAAATTGAACCCTTTGGGAAAGCTATTTTATATTGTTCTTCCTTCTTTAATCCTCAGATCTAGGGCAGCAAAACTGAAACAAACCCATCAATGTTGCTGTGGCTGTTGGTAGCCTCCATCAATCCCAGGTGTACTGGTGCAGATCCAGCTTTGTGGAACAGATTTATGTTTGATTTCAGCTTGCTTTGCTATTCTTTGCCAAGTAAAAATGGCTCTTTTACTTGAAAAAAATCACCTTCACAAAGACCTCACATGTGGGAGCCAATATCTGTTATTTCCCTTGTGCCATCTGTAACCTTGTTCTATGGGTGCTTAGCTTCCTTAGTAGGAATAAGTAAACACATCAGTTTAGTCCTCCAGGGAGACTGTGGCACTTCCATCTCTGGAGCCTTAGAAAAACAGGCTGAATGTGGCTCTTGCATTGGAGCACAGGGGTGCAGTCTGATATTTCAAGGGCCCTTTCAGCTATTTTCTCCCCTGATTTGAACAAGTTAAGGGTTATAACCTCTTCTTCAATGGGACTTTAAAACAGGAGTTTTCAGCCCTCTTTGTTCCGGGTGGGTTGTCTGAAAGGAGGCAGGCTCAGGTGTCCTGGCCCCCAGCAGGTGTCCTGGCCCCAGGCATGTGGGGTGAGCGCTGCACACACATTGTGCTCCTGTTCTGTGCCTGCTTAGGGACAGTCAGAGAGGCCCTTGACAAAACCACTTGGAGTGGGTTCTGCACTGATGGCACATCTGCTGTCCAGTTCCATCTCCTGGATTGCTTGTGAGGCAGGGAGTTAAAAAGAAGGGGAACTGGAAGAGGGTTGGAGAAGATTAAGATAGGAGGAGGAGGCTGGAGCATTCTGTGTTGAAGAGAAGTTTGGGACAGCATGCTGAGATGGATAATGATCTGGCAGTGCTGAGCACAGAGGAGGTGACTTTGGTTCTGTGCACGTGTCTTGTTCCCACTAGGTAATTGAAGTGCTGATCCGGTCTGAGGAAGGGCTGTCCAGGGATATGGTGAAGCACCTCAACAGCATCGAGGAACAAATTCTCGAGAGCCTTGCCTGGACTCGGGACTCCGTGCTCTGGAATGCCCTCCAGGCCTCAGAAAACAAGGTCCCAACGTGTGAAGAAGTATGTTTCCTGTTCTCCTTCTGTTAGGAAATTCATGTCCTTTTTCTTACTGTTGTCTCATTTCAACAGTTTTGTCTACAAAACAATCGTTGCAGAAAAGAATTTTCTATTGGTAGATTGGCTCAAAGAAGGGAAATCTGTTTGTCTTACACTGGCATTTCTTGTTTCTCAGGTAATATTTCCCAGTAATTTTGAAGCAAGCAATGGAGGAAGTGGGCCTGGGCATTTGCCTATGATGCCAATATCTCCTATAATCCATCCTCGAGTAAAAGAGGTTCGGACAGACCTTGGTGGGAGTTTAAGACGGGGTATGTTCAAGGTTTCTGATAGCATTGGAATGTGTGAGTTTGGGGAGAGGGATTTCAGACTCTTTGTAGTTGCAAAAAGCAATCTTGGATCTGAACTAAGCACTGAGAATTGTGAAGCCCCTGTTTTGATGAAGGGAAAGTCCAGATCTGTGATCTCAGCAGATGGAGAGACGTGATTGTGCCCCTCTAGTCTGGTGAGACCTCACCTGAAGGACTGTGTCCAGCTCTGGAGTCCTCAGCACGGGAACTACGTGGGCCTGTTAGAAAGGGTCCAGAGGAGGGCCACAAAATAATCGGGGCTGGAGCAGCTCTCTTATGAGGACAGGCTGAGGGAGTTGGGGCTGTCCAGCCTGCAGCAGAGAAGGCTCCAGGGAGACCTTGTGGGCACCTACAGGAAAGCTGGGGAAGGGCTGTTCCCAAGGGCGTGCAGTGACAGGATGAGGGGCAGTGGTTTGAGACTCAGGCAGGGTAGACTGAGATAGACATTAGGAAGAAGTTCTTTCCTGTGAGGGTGGTGAGACTCTGGCACAGGCTGCCCAGAGAGGCGGGGGGGGGCCCCCACGTAGGAGACTGGGGCTCTGAGCAGCCTGCTGTAGTTGGGGATGTCCCTGCTTTCTGCTGGGGGTCTGGACTAGATGACCTTTCAAGGGCCCTTCAAACCCAGAGCATTCCATGGTTGGCTCTATGACTACAAAATGAGAGGCGGCCGCTAGAGACAGGTCTTGTTTGTACTGCAGAGGAGCCATGGACTGTGAGATCAGATCTGAACGAGAAGTGGTTGCCTGTGCTCTGGTTTGTAGCTTGAGGGTTGGCCTTGTCCCCTCCTGTGGGGGAGCATTCCTGCTCAGCTGCTCCTCTTAACGTGCCTGGTTTTTCCTCCCCTGCATCCTAGACGCGCAGCCGCTGTCGCCCATCTCCGTTCACGAGCGGTACAGCTCTCCTGCGGCTGGGAGTGCCAAGAGAAGGCTCTTTGGAGATGACAGCCCCAGGGAAGTGCAGGTGGATAACGTTTTCAGCGAAGGAACCAAGCTGACCATTGCTCCAGCCCCGAGCCTTGCTGCCGAGAAGGTTCCTGCTGGGCAGAGGGTGCTGGCCGTGAGGGCGGCGGCGCCGGGAGGAGCGGGACAGAAGGTCACTATCCCCCTGCACGGTGCGAGGCCTTCTCCTTCTTCTCTCCTACATCTTTTGCTTGCTCTAAAGATCTCCTTGGGCTCACCATGCATCCTGAACACTTTTTCCTTTTTAAAAGAATGTATTGCTTTGTCAAAAAAGAAAAAAGCTTGAGTTTGTAGTTTGTACTGACATCTGTGGAGACACCTGCTAGGTAACAAACAGCCTGAGGGTTCCTCCCTGTGAGCAAACGGGTGGAGTTCTTGCAGCTTCCAGCCCCACCTCATCACAGATCCAGTGCTCCTTTGGTTCCCAGCTCCAATAATCATTTACTACTATTTGTCTTCATTTTGGTCCATTATAGTCTTAAAAAGCTCTGCAATTTCTGGATAAGTGCTATGTATTAACATTAGAAAAATACTGTGGGATAGTTGTTTTGATGAATTTGGGTGATGACTATTTCTGACAATTGTGTAAAAAAAGGTTTTATAGCCTTTTTTAATTTAAAAACTGGATCTGTAGGTAAAGACAAAAAGGAAAAAAACTCTACATCTCATGTTTCAGGAGATTTTCAGCAAGAGAAATGATTAATTGGGAAACAAGTGAGGACTGTATACAATGTGCTGTTAGGTTTGCAGAATAATACAAAGGAAAAAAAAAAAAGGGAATGCCAAGACTGAGGGACAGTCTTTTTAACATCTAGTACAGAAAGATGGGATGTTTAGGGTGGAACGTTTGTGACTGAATTTGTCATTTGCAGCTTAACTCTGCAGCACGAGGAGAGCAAAGGGCTTACCTCTGTATCTGTGTCTCATCTCCAGGCATTGCAAACGAACTGGGTGGGATCACGTTGATCCCCATTTCAGTGAATTTAGGCCAGCCGTGTAAAGTGGAGGCCCAGGCTCCCTGCCACCCACAGGTGAATCCAGCCCAGGAAGCACATCTGTCCTCAGCAGGCAAGCCAAGGAGAACGGGATCCTTGGCACTGTTCTACAGAAAGGTCAGTGTCTGGTGGAGGCTGAGCTCTGCTGCTGCCCGTGG